CTCTCTAATGTACTCAAGAGCAATGGTGTCACTCTGGAGAGTAAGGTGCATCTGATACAGGCCATGGTCTTTGCAATCACTTGTTATGCATCAAAGAGTTGGACAATGACTAGGGAGGATAAAAGGAGAATTGATGCCTTTGAGCTGTGGTGGTGGAGAAGAATATTGCATGTACCATGGACTGCCAAAAACGAAAAAAAACAAAAAACAAAAAAAAAAAACCAGATTCAACCTTGAGAGGGTTAAACCAGGCTACTCCTTGGAGGCAAGGATTCGGGGGGCTTTGTGTAACATACTTTGGGCATGTTGTAAGGAGAGGACCGGTCCTTGGAGAGGGACATCATGCTTGGGTGGGCGGAGGGACAGCTCAGGAGGGGAAGACCCTCTATGAGGTGGATTGACTCAGTGACTAGAGTAATCGGGTTGGGTATTTCAGAGGCCATATGATTGGCACAGGATAGAGCAGGGTTTAGGTCTGTTGTACATAGGGTCACTATAAGTCTCAAGCGACTCGATTGCACATAACAACAACATCACTAATATCACACACTAGCAAAATCCTGTTGAAGACCATCCAGAAACAACTGGAACGGTACATTGATAGAGAACTACTAGAAATATAAGCTGGGTTTAAAAGTCTTGGCACTAGAGACATTATTGCCAATGTCAGGTGGATGTTGGCAGAAAGCAAAGAGTACCAGAGGGATATCTATCTGTGTTTCATTGACTATGCAAAGACATTTGACTGTGTGTGTCATAACAAATTGTGGCTGACTCTAAGAAGAATGGGAATCCCAGAACACAGGATTGTGCTTATGCAAAACCAGGAAAAAGCAGTGCTCAGAGCAGAGCAGTTAAACACGGCATGGGATGCATTCTGTCTCCATACCTTTTCAATCAATATGCAGAACAGATTATTTGGGAAGCAGGGCTTTATGAGGAGGTTTGTGGCATTAGGTTTGGAGGAAGACTCATTAACAACCTACGATACACAGATGACACAACCCTGCTTACTGAAAATGGAAGATTTGAAGTGCTTGCTACAGATGGTCAAAGAAGGTCAATATGGATTGAAGCTCAACGTCCAGAAGACAAAGATTCTCACCAAGCGGCCAACTGGCAGCACTATATCAGATGGAGAAGAGATTGAGGTTGTTAACAATTA